ATTTTTGTGTAGTAGCCTATTCACCTTTTCCAGTTGAGTTTAGTACTATGATTAACAAATAGTCTATTTTCCGTTATATAAAATGTCTTTTTTAGAGGGTGAGGTTTGTTCTACCAGATTAAATTCAATAAGTGATACAATTATGACACATAACTTAAAGATTCAGAATAAGAAGGAAAAACTTCTTTTTACTGCACTACAAGGAAGTTTTCCTTTCTCATTCTGAATCTCCACGGGTGCTGAACACACTGAACCTTTTAATAATCTGGTTAATAATTGGCTCAAATAATAATTGTGTGTTTATGTTTCATCTTTACACAATGTAATCCCCACATATGAAATAGTATAACCTCTAAATAATGTGTGAGGGATAAATTAGAGTCTGGAAGTGAGACAAAAAAATTGGTTCTTGTGATTCATCTTCAAACTGAATTTAATTTGACCTGCAAAGATAGAAATGGGGAGCCTGGACAGCCTTGTTTTAATCACTCTATTGAGAAAGCTTTACTGAGCTATTTCATGCATTATCTAACACTCTCCACTCAAAAAGAGAACACTGTAAAATCACGATCAATGCATCAAAGACCACATAGAAAACAGGGAATGGTGCAGTATTAGTATGGCAGCTATATCTCTAATTTATTAAACATACATTAAGTAATTTTGCTATTCATTTGTTTTTATTTCTTATCCGGTTTACTATAACGCAAAATGCATAATTGGTAGCTAAGTAAAAGTAAATAACATTTGTTGCAGAATGATACATAAAGGCAGGTGTTTTGGCGTGGTTGATGACGTCACTGGGAGGTATAAAAACGCAAAGGCTTGGTCTCCTGTTTCATTCACGTTTTCTCTACCAAGAAGAACAGAATCCCCTCCATCATGAAGAAACTGTGCGTCGCAGTTGTCGGAGTTTTGCTGCTGGCTTTCCATCTCACATCACAGGTCAGTTTGATCCGTACCTCCTTTCTTTTGTTTTTTTTTTGTTTCTTCATACTTTCACCAACCTTTTAGGTTTAGGAATCAGCTGTGGCCAACGGAATTTGTTTACGCATGAAATGCTGTAATGGCGCAGATGACCTAAATGTTCAATTAGCGAGGTTAAAACGTTATGCTGGGAGTGCATCTACGATCTCGTATGTTTAGGGGAAAAGTCATGAATATAAAAATCAGTTTGTCCCCCGCAGAACAAACGGCGGCAATAAGGATACAATGGCAAACTTCTAGAAGTTTCGGGCTAGGTCTTGAACAGAGGCTTTAAAGCTCTTATCTTAATTTTTTTTTTTTTTTTCAAAATTAAAATGGAAACGAAATGACTCCAGACACTGACTTTTGATTAACTTTCTCCCTCGCACGTTAAATCCTGGTTTAAAAATGAAATCACCCGGACTGAATCATCTTAATTAAATACAAATGTGTTTCAGGTGGCCCTGGTGAATAACGGCACTAATCCGGACAACACAAACGTCACCACCCCGAGCTCCACGGGGGCTGGTTGTGGGACTACCGCCGCCTTCATGGTGCTGCTCCCCCCGCTGGCTCTGACCGCTCTTCTCCTCCACCGGTCCTGATTGAGTGGACTGACCGCGCTGGACACAAAAGCCAGCACAGGTTACACTGTGGATCCAGTGCTGGCTTAGTCTAAATACACTAATCTCTCAATCCACCCACCCACCCACCCAAAAACAGCCAAAAACGCGTTTTGGAATTAAATTTCAAGTGCTGGGTGGGAAAACTTGTCTTAAAAGGCGACGCTCACTTGCATTCTGCTCTATCCTCTGTACTGGCTCTGCAAGGACTCTGAATACTTTGGCACCACACCGGCCCTTTTACTCCTGCGTGCAGTGGGAGAACACCTCAGACTCGTGTACAGTGACAGTCTTTGATTCTGGTGTGACTTGAACTGTTTATTTTTATGTAGATTAAATAAAGCTTTAAATTGTGAGTCCACATGACTGACCATCTCTTTCCTGCTTTGAGTGTTTAAAGTTTTCAGGGTAGACTATAGAGCCATCAAATTAAAACCAAATAAAGCTGGGGAGGCTGAAAATGAAGAGAATCAGATCAAGGGTCCACAAATGATGCAGCCCTGGCTCTGCTTCCAACTCCAAGGCTCTTAATTGGTTTTGGATGAAGGGGAAAGAATATGCTGAAGGGGTGTGGCCTAATTCTCAACTGGCTTTAACTGCGAGTTTATTTCAGTTTGGTTAAAGCAGAAATTACATCTGGAGTGTGTGGGGTACTGACATTTCAGAAGTGGTTTTCTAATCCACCACAATCTGGCAACAGTATCTCACAAAGCAAGACGTTGGTGGCATTTTAATAACTGACCAAGAGCAAGTAAATGAAGGGCTGCTGAGGCCTTCCTCCACCTATTGCAGGGGCTTAGCCCTAAAGGAGCCGCCTGCTTATCTGTGAAGGTCAGCGGCTGGATGGAATTACCTGAGACCCCCCCCCTTCCGATTTGTGTGGGAATTTCCCCTTTGATCACGAGACAAAGGCCGCATTGTCCAGCTCATTCTCTGCTAAACTCAGATCAGGACCTACTTCAGGTGCTGCAGCTTCAACTGCATAAGCATTTTTCCTTGATCTTCACATTTTCTCCTCTTCCTGCTTGATAATCCGAAACCCGAAGAGGCCACATTCACCACCGAGGTGTGACCCCTTAAGTCTCTCATCCTTCCATTTCTTACCATCTGGAACAAAAGCAGAAACCTGAGTTCAGGTAAAGTGTTTGGTCATTTGTGGGAAAGGTGGGTGAGGGTACATGAAAGAAGGGAGAGGGGGGAAAGGTGAAGGACAAGTTTCAGGGTTGAGCTATTCAGCCACTTCTCCTGTTCCCAGGCTCTTTCTGAGCAGCAATATGCACTCAAAACTTGAATGTTGAAACAAATGGAAACCTTTGAGGCTGAAAAATGACAAAAACGCGTCAGGACTCAAAGTACTGCTGTTCCTTCAACAACCGGCTCCAAATGTGAGTCTTTTCCCATAAACCCCCATGTTTAAATGTCCAATTTTAGAGCAGAATTAAACATGTTTACAGCCTGGAACAAAAACAAGGTTTTGGTCTTTGGCTTGTTATATATGATAACATTATTAATTTGTAACGTATCTTTAAGCATCTTTTGTTTAACTCTGTGTGCTGAATACCAATTGTTGGTAAGGTTTGGAAAAGAGTTACCATCAGGCTGACAAAGAAAAGCAGGAAGTGAAACAGTGCAGATGATATCATCAAAGTGTGATGGCTGCTCTCTGAAGCATGGATTTACTGTTAAAAGTAAGTAACGTTGGTACGTGTAGGGCTGTAAGTATTTGGACATTGACTCAATTTTTGTCATTTTTCCCATTTATACCTCCACATTGGATTTAAAATCATGCAATAGGTGACTGAGTAACTGAAAAGATCGGACCAGATCAGCAGTTATTGTCTCACTTGGGAGAAATTTATCTTGGACAAACAGGGGAAACACGTCATATAAGATAGCACACATACATTCACAGTTACACCAAAAGCCCGCTCTATTGGTTGGATGTCAGGTTTCTGACTTGGCCATTGAAGAATATCCCATTTCTTTGTACCGAGAAACTCTTGGGTTGCTTTTGCAGCAAGATTTGGGTCATTATCCTTTTGCCCCATGAAGCACTATGAGATGGGTTTTGCACAAAACTTTTTTAATTTGGTGCAACACATTTTAAAAACTGGAATGTTAATGTGATTATGTTAAAAAATACACATACACTGTTCTGGGTGGACTCTGTGATTACTTTTCTTTTACATGCTGTGAGAAGTGACCAGCCTGGTAAGTAGTTACAAATGAATGAAAGTCTTCCTTGTGGAAGTAGGTTTTCCAACCATCTTTTAAACAAGGCATTTCACACCATGATGCAACTGCATTCTGGCAGAGAAAAGCCCCTCAAGCTGGGCCTTAAAAGTGGCAACAGATATGAGAGCTAGAGCCCAGGAACAGAAGGGCTTCACCCACAGTTTGAGCAACCACACAGCCGGCTCAGCTCTTCACCTGAAAAAGAAACCAGGAGAAGGATAATGGTATGATTTGCTATGCAGTTAATTGCACTAATCCAAAACCAAGACGTTTTTTTCCTAAATAAAATTCTAGTATTTTATTTGGATGTTACATAGCAATAATTAGAATAGAATTAGAATAGAATTCAACTTTATTGTCATTGCACATGCACAGGTACAGGGCAACGAAATGCAGTTTGCATCCATCCAGAAGTGCTTTAGTGATATAGATATATTACAATATATATTAGCAATAATATAAATATGTAAGTATATTACAGAAATGGGTCTGTTATGGTATGTTATAATATACACGGTATGAAGTATGTTATGAATATTCTATAACTATAAGTATGTACAGGCTGTAGTGAGTACAAGTTATGTACAGGCTATGAACAGGATAT